CCATTTTTCAGTTAGTATTGTGTCGTTGGTATAGCCTGCGAAGGTACCTTGCTGGAGACGCTTATAAAGGCCTTTGTTCAGGTCACTAACGTAAAGACCAGTGTCGCGTTGTTTCAGCCAGAACACTTTATCGAACGGGGCATTGTCGGCCTTTTCAGTAAATGTTGCTGGGTTCTCACCTCGTGCGACAGATGTTGCTCCTTTGTCAGCTTTGTCATTACCATCAAGGCCTGTGTGCGATTTCACTTTCAGGAAGTGAACGGTTATGTTCTGTTGGGCGCATTCGTACAGTAGGTCGGCGATGTCCATTAGTAAGGCTTTGTGCTTGGAAATATGCAGTTTACTCGGATCGTTTACTGCTCTTTTGATAAGATCCAGTGAGGCTTGCGAGTCAGTGGCAATTGTTAAGGTGATGTTCACCGCCCTTTGGGTTGATAGAGCTACACGTATTGCTGCCAGCTCTGCCCATTGAATGGTATTTGTACATCCTTCGCCCACTGGGTCGATGTGCAGCGTTTTTCCGGTGGGTCCACAGTATGCAGCCGCACCCAACTTGTTCTGGCCGTCGTTTTCAGCCGATTTAATACAGCTACCGTCGATCCAGATGATAGTGTGCGGGTCCATCCTGAGTGGTACTTGTCCGGGAAAAGCTGCTGTCAGGCGCTGCTGGAGCATCTGTCCGTCCGAGTGGGGGACTGTGGTGGTTGGTCTTGGTCTGGGCGGCTTTGAGGCATTCATCTTGCGCATGACCTGAGCGACTTTGTTTGGGTAGGGTCGTTGGGTGCCGACACAGTGAGTACCCGCGGACATGTCCCGCAGTCGCAGATGTTTTCTGGGGAGGCCGGTGGCGTCCATCACTTCGAGTTCGGATAGGAGCACCTTCATGGATCGGGCGTTTAGTCCTCGGATCACCGTGTCGTTGGCCACCATGACGAGGTCCAGGCCCCCCTTGTAGTCAGGGGTGGGGCCGTCAGTTCCAGTCCCGCTGGTAAGCTTGCACGCTTCACCGCGGCTCAGCCGCGCGAGCTGGAAGACATATGGTGTGTTGTGTAGCTGCGTGTGGGGGCCAGTTCGGCTGTGCGGGACAATGAGTAGTGTGGCGGTGGGCAGTGCGGATGTCATTGTGTGTGATGCGCCTGCGACTGCCCACATTACTGCCTTCTTGACACTGGTGGGGTCAGGGTTCGGGTGTGCTATCGAGAGGCCTGTAAATGGCTGAGAGAATGCATCTATGTTTGCCCCGAAGAGTTGGTCTTCTGCGTGGACACTGAAGTAGTACTGCACCTCTTCACCGCAGTTAAGCGGGGATGAGAACCTTTCGACGACTGGACCGGCATCCAGGGCGTGCAGGGCATCAATCAGCGTACAGCGCAGTTTTCTGCTCATGGTCGCCTGCGACAGTGGCGGGCCTTTCGTTTCGCGCCCGTCGGGGTCCTTTCTGTACCGCAGGAGAAGGCGCGCGACGTCCTCGGTGAAGCCGCCCTGGGAGGACAGGCTTCTGTGCACCTCCGGGTAAGTGTCGATCGTGTGTTGGTATCGCACTCTGAGGGTCTCCAGGCGTTGCAGGGTGAGGGTGCCCACACATTTCCCTCTCGGGTCGTAGATGAAGGCCGTGTTCCCTTCGGTCGAGCCGCCCTCTCTGGTTAGCAGACCTAGCTGGATTCGGTAATTTCCCGTGGGGCGCGCGTCCATGTATGGGTTGCACGGCGCAGTCTCAAAGGTAGTGTTTGCTCGAATAAGGTGTGCCCGCTGGGTCTGCTCCGAGGGGGGCGGGTTCCATCGGCCTTGCCTCTGAGGGTTCGTTAGATTGCTGTCCTTGGGTTTGGGGTATCTCGAGAGGGGGTTCACACTCTGTGACCTCGTTTGCTCGTACCTCGCCATCGCCGCTGGTCCGTTGGGTAACCTACCGAGTTGCACGGTGGGGATATCTGACGGTTCCCATACCGCTCTGTGGAAGTGGCGGTCGATCCGCGTGCCGTAAAGACCTGTCACTGGTAATAGCTGTCTGGGCACGTATCCCATGCTGGCGTATGCGCCGACGATAGATATCGGGTGATAGTGTCTTTCCAGCGAACCGTGTAGTACTGTTCGTGGGTTGCGGTCGTATCGGCCCCGATTTTCTGTTTCTTGGGAGGTTTAGCGTTTGAGGGGACGATGCGTTTTGTGATAGGGCCCGCGAGTACTTCTACGATGTCCTCTACATCATTGTATAGGTCATAAACTATCTGTTGTTGCCCCCTTGTGTCCTTTGCCTGGCCTTTTCCAGGCTTCCAGGGTATCCTGTCCTCCAGTATTTGATCGCGGGCGACTTTCCATCGAGGTCTCCACCATTGCGGGGTGAGGTGCTCTGTGGCTTCAGTGTCCCCGGTAGCGCTCCGGCCGGTTCGGGTGCAGGCTGATCACCGGTGTGGTCCCTGTCAGCGGTGTTCGGGCCGGCCCTTGCCGCCCCTGCACCTGTGCCGGCGCGAGGGTTACATGGCGCTACCGGCATACAGTCGAGTCCCTTTTCTGCAAGGTACACCAGCACTGGGTTTGGGGTACCGATTTCTCCTGTCACGGGGGTCATGCCGATGCTTAGAGTGTGACGGGTTTGCCGGCTTGGGTGCGGTCGCGGGACGATAGGCCCAGGGGGGTTCCCTAGGTTGGGCACACTCCTACGGGTGTCTTTTTGCAGAGCTGCCATGACGCGTCTCGTTTCCATATAGGATGTGCATTG